AAAAAAAGTGCCTTTCCCTGCACGTTGCTCCAGGGATGTGCACACACACCCTCTGCCTAGCACACCACAGCTGACAGTAGCTGGCAATAGTCAATTTAATCAGCGTGCTTTTCTCACCTAAATCCTTTGCTTCTGCCTCCTCACCCCACCCCTTTACCCACAGACAGTGGGAGGGGGAGCCCTGGACACTCTCACCTTCCTCCTGCCCCTGAGTTCCAGGGATCAAAGACAAAATAGAAAACATTAGCTATGCCGACTGCTCCCTGGTGGAAGGCAGCCACCTTCTGAGGAGGTCCCATGGGAGAGTGAGCCCCCTCCCCGTGCATAGCCTGACCCCCAAACTGGGGCTCTTCAGACCCCATCAGATCCTGCACAGACCCTTCAGGATAGGTGCTAGGGGAGCAGCAGCTGGCCAAGGCCTTGTGCCTTGTTGTCTAGGTGGTGTGCCCACCCCGGATCCCGGCCCCACCTGGTCACAAGCATCCCCGCGTCAACTGATGAACCCCCATGTCCAGCAGGTGCCAGATACCAGAAATCAAGAGGAGTGTCCTGTGCTTCAGGAGCCTGAGGGGTGGCAAAGTCGCCAGGGGGGGCCTGGTGGCAGGGAGGGCCTCTCACACACCTCTGCAGGGGCCATGCGCTGAGTCCCCGGTTCCTACCGTGTGTTTCTGTGTGAAGTCAGTGACACTGCCAGCACCGTGGTCACATCACCCCGCCCACAGCTGCCAGACCTGCGAGCTCTTTCCTACTTCCCTTAGGTACTTAGACCCAAAGCCAAGAGGACCTTGACCCGTGAGGGTAGTGGGTAATGAAAACCGTCCTCCGAACTTGAACTTCACCAAGGGAGGGCGGCGCCCTCCCTGCCCCGGCTGCATTGCGCGCATCCGTTTGGAACCAAACGGCACCTGCGCGAAGCCAGGCTGGTTGACATATTTCCTGCTGACGGCGTCGTCTTGCGTGGAGCACGACTGCGCAAAGCGCCGACAGTCCCCCGGAGCGAGTCCTGCAGCAATCAAGCACGCGCCGCAGCCCTCGCCGCCGCCCTCGAGCCGAAACTGCAGCAGGGTCGTCCGAAGTGAGGATGTGCTGCCCTCTAGAGGCCACTGGGCCACATGGTCCATGAGGCGGTCGGGGCAAGGTGGGCTCGGGTGGGAGGAACCAAGGTGGACAAGCCTTGAAGTAAGAGATCTGTTCAAGGTCACAGGGAGTCCGGGCTCACACGGAGGCACAGATCCAAACTCTCTGTACTGGGCCCTTTCGTATTGTGTTGGCCCTTGTTGGTGGTGGTGGTGTTGTTGTTGTTTTGTTTTTGAAGTCTCTGTCACCCAGGCTGGAGTGCAGCGGCGCAATCTCGGTTCACTGCAATCTCTGTCTCCGGGGTTCAAGCGATTCTCCTGCCTCAGCCTGCTGAGTAGCTGGGACTACAGGCGCGTGCCACCATGTCTGGCTAATTTTTTGGTATTTTTAGTAGAGACAGGGTTTCATTATTTTGGCCAGTCTGGTCTCAAACTGCTGACCTCAGGTGATCCACCCGCCTCGGCCTCCCAAAGTGCTGGGATTGCAGGCGTGAGCCACCGCGCCCTGCTGCCCCTGTTAATTTTTAAAAAAGAAAACAATCTCATTTCAGCAGGTGTGGTTTAAAAACAAAAAACACCAACCAAACAAAACCCTTGGGGCTGGACGCAGTGGCTCACTCCTGTAATCCCAGCACTTTGGGAGGCTGAGGTGGGCAGATCAATTGAAGCCAGGAGTTCCAGACCTGCCTGACCGACATGGTGAAACCCCGTCTCTATTAAAAATACAAAATTAGCCGGGTGCAGTGGCAGGTGCCTGTAATCCAAGCTATTTGGGAGGTTGAGCAGGAGAATCTCTTGAGCCTGGGAGGTGGGGACTGCAGTGAGCCAAGATTGTGCCACTGCCCTCCAGCCTGGGCAACAAAGTGAGACCCTGTCTCAAAAAACAAACAAAAATCTCTCACACACTCATACAGACACAGAACTCATGAAGCTTAACCCTCAGAGCCCCTCACTTGCAGAAGACCCTTTGAGGCCTTTAATGGGATACTTCCCACATACAGTTTTCACATACGTTTTTACATATAGTTATTATTGGCCATCCTGGGATAGGGATGACTTTCAGGAATGATCTGAACTGCCCTGGGCTGGTGGAGAAACAGCAAGATTTGAAATGTACAGAGTCAGAAGTTAATCAGTGGAAAATTCTTCCAACCATCAAATGCAAAAACTTGTAAGCAGATCAAAATGAAAGTTTTCCCTAATATAATCAGTCTATGTATCGTGGCTCACGCGTGTAATCCCAGCATTTTGGGCATATGAGGCAGGAGGATCGCTTGAGCTCAGAACTTTGAGACCAGCCTGGGCAACATAGGGAGACCCTATCCCTAAAAAACAAATAAATAAAAAATTAGCCAAGTGTGGCAGTGCATGCTTGTGGTCTCAGCTACTGGGGAGGCTGAGATGGGAGGAGTGCTTGAGCCCAGGAAGTCAAGTCTGCAGTGAGCCATGATTGCACCACTGCACTCCAACCTGGGGGGTAGAGTGAGTGAGTCCCTGTCTCCAAGAAAAAAAAAAAAAAAAAAAATATATATATATATATATATATATACACACACACATATATATACACACATATATATATACACACACACATATATTCAATAATGCAGCAATATAATTGCGAAGTCACTATATGATGAAATTTTTCAAATATTTCTATATATAACCAATAGAAACGACTCTGACATCTGAGAAGTAAATTGTACCAATTTTTTTTTCAGATTAGAGACAAATTTTGAATAGAGGTAATATATGGGCTCTTGGATTGTTAAATAATTTACTTCATAAAAGAAGTGAAATATATGAACACAGTAGGAAAACATTTACATTTTCTGCAGATTTTACTAAGATACAGACATTGACAAAGATAACATAAATCTCATAATAAGCCTCTACAGCAAGACACAGAGGTCAAGTTGGTTCATGAGTATTGCCAATTTAGAGTATTTAAGGTTGGCTCCTGAACACGAATCCTTGATATGCCCTGAAAACTTACAGCTTTTATTTATTTATTTATGTATTTATTTATTTATTTTAAGACGGGTTTCACCATGTTGTTTAGGCTGGTCTTGAACTCCCGACCTCAGGTGATCCGCCCGCCTTGGCCTCCAAAGTGCTTGGATTGCAGGCGTGAGCCACCACGCCCGGCTAACTTACAGCTTTTATATGAAAGAAACTTGATAGAGGTTTTCCCAAATTTGACAGCAATCCTAAAAATATGCACAGAATTATTAATTATGAAAATGTGAAGCTGAAAGTTTTCTAAATTATCAATAATGAAAACCAAATTTCTATCAACCATGCTAGAACAAAAACTGAATTATCTTTCTTTCTTGTTTTGAGACAGAGTCTGGCTCTGTCACCAGGCTGGAGTGCAGTGGCGCCATCTCAGTTCACTGCAACCTCCCCCTCCTGGATTCAAGTGATTCTCCTGCCTCAGCCTCCTGAGTAGCTGGGATTACAGATGTGTGCCACCATGACCGGCTAATTTTTGTATTATTATTAGAGACGGGATTTCACCATGTTGGCCAGGCTGGTCTTGAACTCCTGACCCCAGGTGATCCTCCCACCTTGGCCTTCCAAAGTGCTGGGATTACAAGCATGAGCCACTGCGCCTGGCCAGCCAAAAACTGAATGATCATCACTTCTCGGCCTTTTGGCTAAGATCAAGTGTAAAAACTGAATTATCTTTCTATCCTCTCCCTAGAAAATAGTATAAAATTGTGGCCATACGAAAAGGTGAAGGGGGTGGGGAGAGAGAAAAAAGAAAAGAAAAAAAAAGATGATCCAAGAGTATGCAGCCAAAAATTATAGGAGGAAGAAGTGCCATCGAGGTTTGTTAAGCAGTTAAACAAAACTTTGTTAGTTTCCTGAATTACGTGAAATTGGAGATATTTTCAGCTTTGAAAATATTGTGAATTGTGTTTTCTTTCTAAACCTAAATAGGCATCCCTCTCCTACCTAATTTTGGATTCACGTTTTGTGGTTTTAAAAACATTTTTGTTAAAATTTTTTTTTCTTTTAAATAGAGATGAAATCTTGCTATTTTGCCCAGGCTGGTCTTGAACTCCTGGGCTCAAGCAATCCTCCTGCGTCAGCCTCCCAAAGTGCTGGGATTACAGGCATGAACCACTGCGCCCGGCCTGAGTTCCTTTTTTTAAAGGGTGATTCAAAATTGTTTAATCTTCGGTGACCACAAAACCTGGGCCCACCCCCATGCATTCGGGCACACACATGCACATGCATGATCACACATGAGCACGCACCCCAACACGCACACGTACACATATTCCAGAAAATTCATAGAATCACAAAATTATCACAGATTTATTCAAAGCTTGCTCCAAAGAGAATTATCTTTGCTAATTAAGTTAATTTGACTAATTAAACTAATTTTCCTATTGGTTCCCCCAGTGCCTTCTGTTCCTTTGGTGTCACCCCCAAAGAAATTGCAGAGGACCGCTTTGGGCCATCATTGCACAATTCTCTCAGACAGAAAGGGTGGTTTTGCTTCTTCTTTCATCTGTCGGGTATTTTAAGATTGCCGTCATCTGTTATGCAGAAAAAAAAAAAATCAAACCTTCATTTTTATGTTAATTTCCATGAACTAAACTTTCATTTTGTTCTACTGGCATTTATAGAAAGAGGCTTTTTGGGAGTCTGTTATTCCAAGTTAAGTGGATGCAACCTGAAGAGAGGTACCTTGTCCCTGGGAATCTGTGAGAACATCCTCCTTGGTAGGGAGGTTCTGGTCCCATCATGGGATTTTTGCTGACCTAGAAGAGGAAACATAAGAGGCATAAGGGGATGCCAGATGGTGAAAAATAGGTTTACAGCACCAAAATAGTGTTGTTTCTTTTTTATTAAAAACTAGGCTAGTATTGAATGCCAGAAGGCGTGAAATCCAGCACTGAGTAAGAATCTCCACATTTAGCATTCATCTTGGCACGCATGACAAGGCAGGACATGGTGGGCGCTCCAGACTGATGGGGAACACTGCTGCAGGCTGGCTCCTGCAGCACACAGGATCTGGGAGGCCTGAGGGAGCCCTCCCACAGGCCTGCAACTGGGAGGGTCAGCTTGGGCCCCGTCCCCCATCCCCATCACCATCATACTGGAATCCAAAGCCCTGTACTCTGACTCACCACATCTCCTTCATACTGGATTCTTTTTTTTGAGATGAAGTCTCTGTCGCCCAGGCTGGAGTGCAGTGACTCAATCTTGGCTCACAGCTCACTGCAACCTCCGCCTCCCCGGTCAAGCGATTCTTCTGCTTCAGCCTCCCAAGTAGCTGAGACTACAGGCGCCTGCCATCATGCCTGGCTAATTTTTGTATTTTTAATAGACACTGAGTTTCACCATCTTGGCCAGGTTGGTCTTGAACTCCTGAACTTAAGTGATCCGCCTGCCTTGGCCTCCCAAAGTGCTAGGATGACAGGCGTGAGCCACTGCACCCATCCCTTCATACTGGATTCTAATGTTGAAGAACCAGGAAGGCTGGAATCTTGACTTCCAAGAAGTCCTAGCTTCTTCAGCATCATGGACGGTAACTGCCATCTTTAAAAGTTTCCCCCACACTGGGTGCGGAGGCTCACGCCTGTAATCCCAGCACTTTGGGAGGCTGAGGTAGGCAGATCACCAGGTCAGGAGTTCGAGACCAGCTTGGCCAACATGGTGAAACCCCGTCTCTACTACTAATACAAAAATTAGCCAGGCATGGTGGCAGGCGCCTGTAATCTCAGCTACTCCAGAGGCTGAGGCAGGAGAATCGCTTGAACCCAGGAGGCAGAGGTTGCAGTGAGCTGAGATCGCGCCATTGCATTCTGGCGTGGGCAACAAGAACGAAACTCTAGCTCAAAAAAAAAAAAAACAAACAAACAAAAAAAAAAAAAACCATGGACGGGCTCGGTGGCTCACACCTGTAATCCCAGCACTTTGGGAGGCTGAGGAGGGCAGATCACCTGAGGTCAGGAGTTCAAGATTAGCCTGGGCAAAATGGCAAAACCCCTGTCTCTACTAAAAATGCAAAATCAACTGGGTGCAGTGGCACATGCCTATACTCCCAACTACTTGGGAAGCTGAGGCAGGAGAATCACTTGAATCTGGGAGAGGGAGGTAGTAGTGAGCTGAGATCTCACCACTGCACTCCAGCCTGGGCAATAAGAATGAAACTCCAGCTGGGCGTGGTGGCTCATGCCTGTAATCCCAGCACTTTGGGAGGCCGAGGTGGGTGGATCATGAGGTCAGGAGTTCGAGACCAGCCTGGCCAAGATGGTGAAATCCTGTCTCTACTAAAAATACGAAAATTAGCGGGGCACAGTGGCAGGTGCCTGTAATCCCAGCTACTCAGGAGGCTGAGGCAGGAGAGTTGCTTGAACCCAGGAGGCGGAGGTTCCAGTGAGCTGAGATATCGCCACTGCACTCCAGCCTGGGTGACAGAGTGAGACTCCATATCAAAACATCAACAACAACAACAACAAAAGGGAAAGTCTGTCTCAAAAACAAAACAAAACAAAAACCAAGTAGGTGATAGATTATTTGCAAACACGGCCACAATTTCACTTTACTGAAGTACCTGGAATAGCTGAATTCACAGGAACAGAAAATAAAATAGAGGTTACCAGGGGCTGGGGGTACTGGGGAAGGAAGTTATTGTTGAATGGATATGCGATTTCAGTTTGGGAAGATGAACCAGTTCCAAGGAAGGATGATGGTGCTGGTTGCATGTGAATGTACTTAACGCCACTGAACTGTATACATAAAAACCAATGGCGAATTGTATGTATTTTTATCACAATAAAATCTTTTTAAAGAGAAAATAAAATATTTACAATGCATTATGCATTTATTTATTTTATTTTATTTTTTTGAGATGGAGTCTCACTCTGCCGCCCAGGCTGGAGTGCAGTGGCTCCATCTCAGCTCACTGCAGCCTCCGCCTCCCCAGTCCCGGTTCAAGCAATTCTCCTACCTCAGCCTCCCGAGTAGCTGGGATTACAGGCACGAGCCACCATTCCCAGCACATTTTTGTATTTATTAGTAGAGACGGGGTTTCACCATGTTAGCCAGTCTGGTCTTAAACTCCTGACCTCGTGATCTGCCCGCCTCGGCCTCCCAAAGTGCTGGGATTACAGGCGTGAGCCACCGCGCCTGGCCTTCTTGTCCTTTTATGGAGACTTCATTGGATAGGCATGAAGCACAGACATCCATTTTGATATGTGATTGGGTTGGGCGTAGTGGCTCACGCTTATAATCCTAGCACTTTGGGAGGCTGAAGCGAGTGGATCACCCGAGGTTAGGGGTTTGAGACCAGCCTGGCCAATATGGGTGAAACCGCATCTTTACTAAAAATACAAAATTAGGCCAGGTGTGGTGGCTCACGCCTGTAATTCCAGAATTTTGGGAGGCCAAGGCAGTCAGATCACCTGAGGTTGGGAGTTCGAGACCAGCCTGACCAATATGGAGAAATCCCGTCTCTACTAAAAATACAAAATTAGCTGGGCGTGGTGGCGCATGCCTGTAATCCCAGCTACTTGGGAGGCCGAGGCAGGAGAATCGCTTGAACAGGGAGGCAGAGGTTGCGGTGAGCGGAGATTGCACCATTGCACTCCAGCCTCTGCAACAAGAACAAAACTTCATCTAAAAAAAGAAAAAAAAAAAAAATAGCCGGGTTTAGTGGCGTGCAGCAGTAATCCCAGCTCCTCAGGAGGCTGAGGCAGGAGAATCACTTGAACTTGGGAGGCAGAGATTGCAGTGAGGATCACTTGAATCCAGGAGGCGGAGGTTGCGGTGAGCTGAGATCAGCTGAGATTACACCATTTCACTCTAGCCTGAGCAACAAGAGCAAAACTCTGCTTCAAAAAAAAAAAAAAAAAAAAAAAAAAAAAGTACCTTAAGGCTGGGTGTGGTGGCTCATGCCTATAATTCCAGCAGTTTGGGAGGCCAAGGCAGGTGGATCACCTGAGGTCAGAAATTCAAGACCAGCCTGGCCAATATGGTGAAACCCGTCTCTACTAAAACTACAAAAAAAAAAAAATTAGCCAGGCGTGGTGGTGCACACCTGTAATCCCAGCTACTCAAAAGGCTGAGGCATGAGAATCACTTGAAGCCGGGAGTCGGAGGTTGCAGTGAGCCAAGATCACACCACTGCACTCCAGCCTGGGCAACAGAGTGAGACTCTGTCTCAAAGGAAAAAAAAAGTGCCTTGTTGGCATAGAGATCTGGTACAAGTACTGTGCACAGCGTGTGAAAACATCCCCATCGCGCTGCGTGGCAACAAAGTGGGATTGAAGGACAGGAAAGTTAAGGCAAAATCCATCTTCCACAGAAAGAAGAAGTTTCAGTAATGTAACGTTTTTGCCAGAAGTAACTACAACTTTGAAAAGCCCTTCTTTTGTGTGATATTGTCAAATATATGTTGGTTTTTGACCCTAGTTTCCTGGCATACAACTCTGAAAATCCTTAGCGTCTCCAAAGTGATGGCCTATGTATGCTGACGATGACTGACGGCTGGAGCCCCTAGGTAGCTTCAGGATGGGGGCTGCTCCCCAAAAAGACCAAGGCAGGATTAGAGGGTTGGGACTTTCAGCCCGACTCTTATCCTCTGGGGAGGGGAGAGGGGCTGCAGGTTGAGTTGCTCACCAATGGCCAATGGTTTAATCAATCACGCCTACCTAATGAAGCTACCGTAAAAACCCGAAAGGACTGAGTTCTGGGAGCTTCTGGATAGCTGCACACGTTGAGGTTCCTGGAGGGTGGTGCACCCGGAGGGGGCATGGAAGCTCCGCGCCCCTTCCCCCATACCTTGCCCTATGTATCTCTTCATCTGTATCCTTTGTAATATCCTTGTTAATAAACTGGTAAACGTGTTTCCCTGAGTTCTGGGAGCTGCTCTAACAAATTAAATGAACCAAAGGAAGGGGTGGAGGGAACCCCAATTTATAGCCCGTCAGTCAGAAGCACAGGTGACACAACCCGAGGCTTGCCATTGACATCTAAAGGTGGGGCAGTCTTGGAGACTGAGCCGTCAACCTGTGGGATGTGACGCTATCTCCAGGTAGTGTCAGAATTGAATAGAATTAGAGGACACCCAGTTGGTGTCCACTGCAGAACTGATTGCTTGATTGCTGGTGGGGAAAATCCCCACATGTTTTGGGGTCACAGAAGTGTTCTGTGTTAATTGTGTGAGGCCAGAGGAAAAGCAGTTTGGGTTTTTTCCACTCAGACTTTGGCTTGCTAGAAAACAAATGAAGGCCAAGTGTCGTGGCGCACACCTGTAACTCCGGCACTTTGGGAGGCCAAGGAGGTCTGATGACTTGAGCCCAGGAATTTGAGACCAGCCTGGGCAACACAGGGAGAATCTCAGCTCTATTAGCTGGGTGTGGTGGCATGTGCCTGTAGACCCAGCTACTTGGGAGGGTGAGGTAGGAGGATCACTTGAGCCTGGGAGGCCGAGGCTGCAGTGAGCCATGATTGCACCACTGCACTCCAGCCTAGGTAACAGAGCAAGACTCCGTCTCAAAAAAAAAAAAAAAATTTAAAAAGAGTCCGAGTGTGGTAGTTCATGCCTGTAATCCCAGCACTTGGGGAGGCTGAGGCAGGCAGATCACCTGAGGTCAGGAGTTCGAGACCAGGCTGGCCAACATGGTGAAACCCCGTCTCTACTAAAAATACAAAATTAGCTGAGCATGATGATGCACGCCTGTAGTCCCAGCTACTTGGGAGGCTGAGGCAGGAGAATCGCTTGAACCCAGGAGGTGGAGTCTGCAGTGAGCTG